CCCCGCAGGGACGACGTGTGGGGAGGCGGAGAGACTATTCAAAGATTAGGCGGTTTTTCTTTCATGTACGTCCGCCATTTTTAGGTCACCGGCTTTGTAAAGCCTGGCTTAATTCGTTGAGAATGCGCTCTTTGTGAAACATGCCCCTGGAGGAAATCAGCAGCTTACCCGTGTTAACTGTCCGAGACCCTCCGGCCAGGCATCCTCTTGCCATTGGCTGCTAGGGTAGGGGATGAACGGGGTCCGGTCACCATGTCTGAAATGCTACATCATTTGGATTAATTTAATTATAAATTATTATAATCCTTAAATCACAAAAACAGTTACATATTTTACGTGCTTGTCATATTTGACTAGATATATGTACGAATGCCCTATATATAAATAACACTGCATGCATGCAATATACAGTATGCTGGTACATTGAGTAGAACAGTTTAACCAGCCAGCAGGCCTGCTAATGTTTCCGGGTTCTTAAATTTAAGATTTTGTATTTTAATTCGTACTTTTGTGTTTGTAAGCAAATGCCCAGTACATAAAAAATTGAATCATAGACTGTATAGTACGGAGTAGACCTCCCACCCCTCCCCAGTAGGAGATCCATGTACTTACCAGGTTCACCTGCACCAGTGTCTGTGGTGCCTCTTCACATGTTCTACTCATACAGCTCATCAACAGAACAGCCGTGAATACTAGATCTTCCGTCCTCCCCATGCTTAAATAAAGAAAGTATTCATATGATATGGCTCAAACATAGTCATCAACAATTAAGCATTCTAGTATAAAAGCATGAATATGTGTGTGTGTGTGTGTGTGTGTGTGTGTGTGCAAGCGCGACTTCGTACATGTAGGTACCTGCGACATTGGTATTAGGATGAAAACAAAATATGGAGATTCAACCTTGTCCTCTAATGAGGCAGGAGAAAATCTAGGTCTCAGGTTTATAAGGGCAATGCCAATTAAATTTGCCTGAGTTTACGGCATTGGATGCTAACGGTAGGCCTACACTTACTGCAGGTAAGGCCTCCTAGCACTTATTTTTTTCAACTCTCGCCGCTATGAATATCCACATCCCGGGGTAACTGTGCAGGGGCGGATTTAATTAGGCCGTCTTGTAGGTCTTCCGGAAGACCGTCAGATTTTCAAGTTTAAATTGATGGCTATATATTTTTTCTGGAAAATGTAGGATGGAACCAAAAATGGAGGATGGATCAATAAATATAATACGGAAGCCTGTAAGAAAATAACGTGTCGTCTGCCCCATTCTGAACCATATGTCATTCGCAAATAAAGTTATTTGGCATCGGTTTACGTAACACTATATGGGCATTTTTACAATCCTGGGCTCCTTTTTTTCCCACCAAGGGTCAAAAATAGAAGTCATTATTGTGTTGAAATTTGTACTTTTCTTGAAAGTATAGACTTGAAGGGTATAAGAAATGGCAATCCTGAGATAAAACCTTGTGTATGTATAAAGATATGATTATTTGAATTTTGAAAATCATTTTTTTGATTTTCATAAGCTAAACCTTTAAGTGTGTGACTTTTATGGTAATTTAAGGCATTGATCTCCAAAAAACAACTTAGTTTTACCCAGAGAGTATTGCTCTTTTATGTATTTGCAAAAAAAATGGATGAAAATATCCAAAATTTGACGAATCAATGATATTTTGTAATTTTTCTGTTTCAGTATTAAATGTGACTCCATGAAGTTTTTGATTCTGAGATATTCTGAGGACTTCTGTACTTCACTTTACCTTGCATTAGTTCTTTATGTAATGCTTCATGATTGTGTAAAATATTATTTTGCACGGACATGTGTGCTAATTGCAGTGTCATGTTAAAATAAATGTCCTTTCCGAAACAGGGATGTTTCGGAAAGGACATTTTTTTAACATTTATGATATTGGTTTAATATATTGTAGCATTTGAGTTTATAAGTTTTAGGTTAAGTCTATGAATAACTGGACAAAATAGGTGGAAGCTGAACTACAATTGAAGTCTTTTTATTACATTTTGTGCTTGTTTTGTCTATTCTGTACTAGTAATTCATTACTGGAATTTTATTTTATTAAATATTGATTGTGAGATATATTCCAGGTATTCTCTACGCCATTTTACCTAATTCCAGTTTCTTTTGTTACAGTTCATAGCTGTATAAAATATTATTTGACAATGTCAAATTTACCAACAGTAAAGACATGTTTAAATATATGTCCTTTTAGACATGTCCTTGTTTCGGAATGGACATTTGTTTAACATTTATGAAATTGCCTTAAGATCTCATAGTATGTTGGTTTACAAGGTACAGGTGAAGCAATCATTGGACAAAATATGAGTAAACTAGATTAAAATTGAACTGTTTTTATTACATTAATTGGTCATTTTGGATAGTTTTTGATTCTTTTTTGAAATGTTACTCCATTAGTATTTGATCATGACATAAAATAGAGTCTTCTACACTCTATTATACCCTAATCTACTTCCTTTTGTTACAGCTCATAGCTGTATAAAATATTATTTGACAAGGTCAAGTTAAATTTAGTAATTACATTTTTAAATATGTCCTTTTAGGCATGTCCTGTGTTTCGGAATGGACATTTATTTAACATTTATAAATGATATATATATATACGTATGTATCATGATATATGTACATATTATAAATAATCAGTTAATTATAACCTGTCTGTCTGCAAGCGCCTCTGTAAACTGTGTCAGTGAACTGACTCTCGCAACTTTAACATGTGTAGCCTCATAACTATTTTCGAATACTTTTATGTGCATCATAAGTAAACAATATTTAAAGTAAGGTAAGCTATATTATTCAAAATTACATTCTACATAAATTTGATGTGCTTCCCAACATGCTCTTCCCCATGAATAATAAATAGATGAGCAGACCAAAGAGTAAACAAGTGTTTTAGACAATGTGTTAAAAAATGTCCATTCCGATACAATTTCAAAGCATCCAAATTGCCTATATTTCTATTTATACTGATATAATCTCTTCAATTTATTGTTAATTAAACTTTGAAATACATGAACTTTGGGGAAATATGCAATGGAAGTTCTAGTAGATCCAAATAAAAGATGCTGACTCACAAAAATGAATTTTTTTGTTGAGGATATATATAGAAATTTAAAAAGATGCCGTTGAAGAAATGTTTTTCTATTACTAGTATTTTTATGTCATATGCATGATGCTCTAACAGTAATTTGCTCATGTCAAGTGAAACATACAGCATTAAAGACAGAATTCTCTCTATTTATAACATTGGCAATGTAAAGGTACTTTGTTTCGGAATGGACAATTTTTAACACGCATCTCAAAAAAGGCCATAGTTAAATGGGTTTCTGTGCACTGGGGTTTTCTTATATAAAAATAAATATCACATGTCCTGGGCTTTAGAGAAATATATATTGTTACAGGCTAGGTGTCAACATGTTCTTTTTATGTAAGAGAAACCCAATGTTTCGGAATGGACAAATTTAACGGAAAAACACGGTAGGGTTATTTTGCACTCCATGTCAAGCTCCAGAATCATCGCGCAGATTTCATTATTTGATACAAACAATACCAATACATCCAAATAATGATTAGGATGGTTAATTATACTGTATGTTTTATGATATATTTTCTGAAAGTCATTTATTTTTGTTTCGGAATGGACATTTCGTTTAACGGAAATACCAGCATGCCATTAAAAGACTTTTTTTTCTAGGATACACCTCTCTCTTGTTAATATTTATACTTTTTTGCTTCCACCATACTACTGAGTGTTTTATAATCCAAAAAAATGCAATGTCAAACACTGTTTTAATTTATTTCAGATTGCTTTTTATTTCATATGACTAAAACGGGAAAAATTTTTGGTCATTTTTCGGGCTTTGCTTTAGCATAACTTTGGACTCGGTGGTGATATTTGGTTTCTATTTTCAGTGTTTATCTTCACTTACACCATTCTCTAACATAGTGATAAAAAAATTCTTTGATCATATGTATGTAATTTGTTAATTAGCAATATGTGGGAAAATCTGAAAAGTGCCCAGGACTGTAAAAATGCCCATATAGGCCTCTACAGTGTGATATATTTTACTCTTTTTTATTCCTGCTTAATATGCAGTATTGCTAGCACTTACGCGGGTCATTGGAAAGCACCACAGGTAGGCCTACCTGTGTAGTCGCGAGCAGGCCACGACCATTTCTAACAGTGTCTGGGCGTTACTGCCTTACCTGCGTAGCAAGTAAAGCCGCAAACCGAGGCAGCAGTCAAATGTCCAGTAAATGTATGTAGTCGGAATAGTTTTTATAACTGTCGACCTAGTGTCTAGAGAGAATCACAGCGGCGAGAGAGAGAGAGAGAGAGAGAGAGAGAGAGAGAGAGAAATTACCCCATTCTCCCCCCATGCTTACCCATGCCTAAACGTCTGATATCTTGCAACATAAAGCGAAACCAAACNCAACTCCCACTATATTTAAGTGTCCCATTACATGTGCTCTCTTGCTCAACTCCCACTATATATAAGTGTCCCATTACAGGTGCTCTCTTGTTAAACTCCCACTATATATAAGTGTCCCATTACATGTGCTCTCTTGCTCAACTCCCACTATATTTAAGTGCCCCATTACAAGTGCTCTCTTGTTAAACTCCCACTATATATAAGTGTCCCATTACATGTGCTCTCTTGCTCAGCTCCCACTATCTATAAGTGTCCCGGTCCAAACATAAGTTGTGCTCAGCGTTGCTTTGAATACGCTTCAATTTGCAGTGGTGATGACAGGCAGCAGTAAAATAAACATAATAATTTTGCCGAAAATTGTCCACGCAGCCCATGGGGAGAAATGAATGATTTCTAGGTGCACCGCCATCATAACCCGGTCTTCTTCGTCGCCACGGCAATGATGCAGCCGCTGTAGTCGGACTCGCGCTCCAGCACATTGTCTGGGCGCCTGATCCTGTGCCACGACTCCAACTCCAGTCCGGCCTCCGTCAGCGCTTCTCTGAATCTATTCTCTTGCAGCGACAGCGCAGCCCAGTTCACATCTCCAACCCGGTAAAATGATTCCTCCACACTGGCCACCTGAATGAAGTGCCCTCCCTCTTTCAGCATCGATACCACGTTTTTCAGAGCTTGTAGATATTCTTTTTCATTCGTGCACGCAACTTCCAAGCAAAAGCTGCTGGTTATGGCATCGAAAGGGGCCGTGGTGACGTAGTTAAGGGGGTGATTGTTTCGAACGTCACAGTGGTAAATAGCTTTTACTTTGCCTCGCATTTCATCTTGCAGCACCTCCCAGTGGGCGCCTTTCCCTCCACTCCCAACTCCAGTCGCTGATTTTTTCCTTCTTCCACCATTTTTCAAGAACCTCGCGGTTGTGTGCGGAGAAATCAGACAGGTATATTTCCTCAAAGTATTTCGAGATACTTATAAGGTTGAAAATCGAAGGTCCAGTGCCCACGTCAAGAAGTCTCCGTCCTTTGATCTTCTCCGCACTATAGAGGTCGTGGTAGTAGTCCAAGGCTCCGGTTATCTCTGAGGCTGCGGGTCCACCTGTCACAAAGTCGCTATAAAGGGTATTCAGGTATGCATTAGGCTGGAACAGGCCACCGTAGTCCTCTCCGGAGTATAATTTCTTCTTAGACCCGCTTTTGCCATTGTCTGTTGTCTCTTCTTCAAATGATGTCCCTTGTGTCCTGCCATCAGGATTGATGTCTTAAATCTACGCACATAAGATTTTGAAATGCCTTAGTTAGTATCTAAAAAGTATTGTGGGGTATAAGAAAACGAATGTTTAACAACTTGTCTTGCACGAAGAAATGATTAGCACTTATTTAACGGCTACACTGAATTTTGCAGTGATTCCTTGTGGTGTGATACGGGTATTTGTGACACTTCATACTTATGCATTGTTCGTAATTAACATTAAATAGTTGATCGTGGGGTTTTGTGTACCATTTTTATACAAAACACATTTATTTCCAACAGCAGCTGAATATGATCCCCATTACAGGAGCTCTTTTGCTCATCTCCCACTATATTTAAGTGCCCCTTAACAGGTGCTCTCTTGCCCAACTCCCACTATATTTAAGTGCCCCATTACAGGTGCTCTCTTGCCCAACTCCCACTATATTTAAGTGTCCCATTACAGGTGCTCTCTTGCTCAACTCCCAATATATTTAAGTGCCCCGGTCTAAACATAAAGTTGTGCTCAGCGTTGCTTTGAATACCCTTCAACTGGCAGTGGTGATGACAGGTAGCAGTAAAAAAAAACAAAAAAACATAAGAATTTTGCCGAAAATTGTCCACACAGCCCATGGGGAGAAATGAATGACATCTAATTGCACCGCCATCATAACCCGGTCTTCTTCGTCGCCACGGCAATGATGCAGCCGCTGTAGTCGGACTCGCGCTCCAGCACATTGTCTGGGCGCCTGATCCTGTGCCACGACTCCAACTCCAGTCCGGCCTCCGTCAGCGCTTCTCTGAATCTATTCTCTTGCAGCGACAGCACAGACCAGTTCACATCTCCAACCCGGTAAAACGATTCCTCCACACTGGCCACCTGAATGAAGTGCCCTCCCTCTTTCAGCATCGATACCACGTTTTTCAGAGCTTGTAGATAGTTTTTTTCATTCGTGCACGCAACTTCCAAGCAAAAGCTGCTGGTTATGGCATCGAAAGGGACCGTGGTGACGTAGTTAAGGGGGTGATTATTTCGAACGTCACAGTGGTAAATAGCTTTTACTTTGCCTCGCAGTTCATCTTGCAGCACCTCCCAGTGGGCGCCTTTCCCTCCACTCCCAACTCCAGTCGCTGATTTTTTCCTTCTTCCACCATTTTTCAAGAACCTCGCGGTTGTGTGCGGAGAAATCGGACAGGTATATTTCCTCAAAGTATTTCGAGATACTTATAAGGTTGAAAATCGAAGGTCCAGTGCCCACGTCAAGAAGTCTCTGACCTTTGATCTTCCCCACACTATAGAGGGAGTGGTAGTAGTCCAAGGCCCCGGTAATCTCTGAGGCTGTGGGTCCACCTGTCACAAAGTCGCTATAAAGGGTATTCAGGTATGCATTAGGCTCGAACAGACCGTCGTAATCCTCTCCGGAGTATAATTTCTTCTTAGACCCGCCATTGTCTGTTGTCTCTTCTTCTATTAATGTCCCCGTGGGTCCTGCCATCAGGAATGATGTCTTAAATCTAAGCACACAAGTGTCTTGTAGTGTTTGGTATAACAAAAAAAGCTTTAATCTGAGACAGTTGAGCGTTGTCTCTATATCATCAAAAATTCATTTGGATGCTGGATTGTATTAACCAATCCTTTAAAGAGAAAATGCAACACACAAATGCTATATTTTTTGTTCAAATTTCAAGATCAATTTGGATAAGTCTAGTGCCCTCAACCAGGACTGCCGATTAATTTTCTGCACTTTATTTACAGCTGAGATTTGTGTCATGAATAAGAGAAATATCTGAGAACATCTCGTGAAAAATCAACCTTTGACCCTGGTAGAGGGTACCTTTATCCCAATGTGGCAGAGGGTACCCTTACTCCAATGTGGCAGAGGGTACATTTACTCCATTGTGGCAGAGGGTACCTTTATCCCAATGTGGCAGAGGGTACCTTTACCCCAATGTGGCAGAGGGTACCTTTATCCCAATGTGGCAGAGGGTACCTTTACTCCATTGTCACAGAGGGTACCCTTACTCCAATGTGACAGAGGGTACCTTTACCCCAATGTGGCAGAGGGTACCTTTACCCCAATGTGGCAGAGGGTACCTTTACCCCAATGTGGCAGAGGGTACATTTACTCCATTGTGACAGAGGGCACATTTGCCCCAATGTGGCAGAGGGTACCTTTACCTATCTCACAGTCTGGGGGGGGGGGGGGGAGGGATCTCTCTTCTGAACATCACCATGTTATGGGATAAATACGCAGAGGTAGCATTACAAATACCTGTCCAATTGCATGGCTTCTATTTCGTAAGCCCGGTGTAATGGGAGGTTAGAGGACCGATTTAAGCGTCAAAGCGGGAATTTGGATTTACGGTTTGATTGTGCGTATGCCATGCACGGAATTAACAAACGAGCGACGGGATGATGTAGCCTGCGGCATTTGCGGTAAGCGTGCCAAGTTTTAGGCCGCTCCGATGCCCGGCAATATTTTATTTCGATTATTATATTTAAATTTGTGGAATCTTGTTTCACAAGATTACTCTATTTTATTGTCTCTATGGAGGTATATGGGGACTTTACGACATTCGGCTTGAAGGCTTTAACCACTTGTTATAGTTTATTTGTGCATTGTTTTGGATTAATGTGGCAGTCTAAGGTTGTTCTAGGTGGTTTTCAAGTTTATGCACCCGTTTTTAAAATCATTTAGTGATATTACGACAATCGTTTACTATCCAATCAAGGTGACACCCGAGCGTGCTTTAGAGTAATCGGTGCACGTCTGTTGGGCAACCCCTTATTCATAACTATGTTTATTTGTCACGTTAGTTCATATCTTATTTCTTATTTTGCACATGGTATTGCGGTGAACTACACAACACCATGTCCCTACTAAAATACAGGATACAAAATAGTGATCCCAGTAGAATGTAGTACGCCGAATAATGCTTGTGTGCGTTCAAGGTTAATGTTGCGAGAGGGTGGCAGCGCATTATTAGACATGAATACCAATTAAGGGAAAGAACTTGCGTTTCACCGAAAAACACACCTAAAACAAAATATAGCACTGTCACATAACATGGTAATGTAGACAGCTAACGCTACACTCGATGTGTTATGTGAACTTACTTCTGCTTGTTTGCAAGACAGTTCCTCCCGACTTACTTCTATCTACAAACAAAGAAGGATCTCGAGGTCGTGCTGAACCCATCACTTTCAAGCATTTATTTAATATTCTTCGCATTTGATCAGTAATCCTTTGATTACAAACATATGTTAAAATTAAACCTATGGCTTGTTATTTTATGAAGTATTATGACTATATGACAGTACTTGTACCTGTACGCCCGGGCCAGTTGTGCCTCTGCTTTCAGTCACCACGTGTAATAGACTTTACATGTAACAACCTGGTAACATATCTTCTAGTAACCGTGTAGAAGACTTTAAATATAACAACTTGATAATACATCTTGAGGTAAACGCTTGATTCATGTGGAAAGGGGGTGGGACCACAAACATATAAAATAGAAGAACCCATTTTTTAATTGTCACCATAGAACATATACAGCTACATGTACAAAGGGACCAACTTTTTTTTAAATCTGACTTGATAATAGCAGGACGACTGACAGGGTCAAGCAAGCAGCAAGCGTTTGTTTTGATAAATATGCATGCTTTTTAGATTAATCACTGCCCGCCTATTTATAGCCGGAATTCCATTAAGTATATTCAAATGTATTTCCACATGCTTCACAACGAGGAATGATAACCGTGACTGCAATGTGGAACAGCGTCTATAACCAGCACGTACCGGTATTATAATGTAATGTTTTTAAATTGTATAAATCACCTTTCTGTGTCTACATAATTACCCATGGCTTATTTGCCTGGGGTTAGGCGCAGAGGATGAGAATTTTAAGTGTGGGGTTAACCATTCAGTAAAAACTAGTTACGTGGAGATGGGGATGGGGAGATTCCCTTGCTCCCTCTCCTTCCCCCCCCCCCCCACCGTGGGGCAGGTGGGTAAGACCCCTTATTGAATGATAATAGGTAATCATCCATTACCTAACTCCACCTGTGGTTCTTTGTGACAGAGTAGCGAAGTGATGTGCCTTGATTTTCCATTTTGATCTGCCGGGGTTGAAATATTCATCTCTGAACATTGTATGCAATTATTAATGGTGGTTTCCAAGGCAATACCCGGATGCTTTTGTCAATTCGTTAATATAAAGAACTTCATATGAAGAATATGTCCTACTATTCAACCCACATGCGCTGCCTTAATTAAGGACAAACTGTAGAAATGATGTCGTACTGGTATTAATATTATTATGATCTTTAAATATTTGAACATTTTCAATAACGCCGAAATTATTATTGTTCAGGTAGCAGTGCCCCAATGGCAATGTTTCAATGATTTTGTTGGCTTTGCCTGATAGACTGTTTGTGTGGCTATATTGATGTATTTAAATTGCTTTTAGCCAAAATTTTATGCTAAGGGGAAAAAACTTTACTTGCCTCCTGGGGGTGTGCGTGGGTGCTGGGGTCCCACACCTACGTGTGCGTGCGCTTGCAAATTGTGTCAGTATGTAAATATAATATGGCACATAAAGCCTGTACTTTTATTGTGGAAGACCTCTTGGATTTGATTTCAAAAGCCACCCTAACCCCCCCCCCACTCCTCCGAACATGGGTTCTTTCAGAGCGTTTTCTAGCACAACTCAACCGGCAGACCACTGATAGTTGGCACGAGTGAGGCGCTTGCAGCTTCAAAGTTTTTAAAAATTTTTAGTTTGGTGATGGTTAACATAATAACAGGACTGGATTTAAACCTCTTGCTGTTCTAATCTCTCCTAGCACCATTGTCTATCATACAGGAGCAGCTATCTTGTGGCAGGCACACTAACGCTCATGAAAATTCCCATTGCTATACACATGTATTTCTCATATATTCTTTCCTTTTTTCTGCTTTGCTTTTGCCCTTTTCTCCCCATCATCCAAATATCATTTTTTCGTTATTTTTTTTATGAAACTTCCCCCCTCATATATAAAGAGAGATTATCATTCTAGCAGCTTGGTTCCGGAAGCATGTATATATTCTTCTTACACTTAAATCCAACCTTGCATAGCAGTGGCAAATAATTAAACCTTTGAGTTAGGTTGTTTGGTATTGGATGAAACCGCCAGTTGTGTTAGTAGCGACACAAGTACAACAAGCACATCTGGAAGGCATTGGCTTCAAATTCAAACGTCTGAAAAAAAAAAAGAAGAAAACTGAACGATGCTTTTATTTTGCAAACTGATGTACACAAGCTGATCGATATATTTAACAGTCAATGAAACTCGCTGAATACTATTTCATCGTTGGAACCAAACACTTGTCACTATAAGAAACCTACTGCAAGACCATGGAACGTCCACACTTATATAAAGGCAGAAAAGACAAACCAGTGGGATGCAAACAAAATATATTTGATTGATAGGCAATGTTTCAGTGAAAATGCTTTAGCGAACATTGACGCAGGATTGTCTTTTCTGCTCGAAATGTGCAAGTGCTGCGTCTGAGATGACGGAAAACTAAAGGTTATGGACACAGCGTTACCAAAATTCAGTATTTAGTTTGAATAGAGGAATTGGAAAAGAATAAAGTGGTTAAAAACTAAGCTGTTGAAAGTCGAATGATATGTATCAGCTTCAACGGTGATGAATGATTTACCGTTTTAAATATTATTATGTTATTGAAAATAATAATTGAACATGAAAATGGTGTTCAGGAGATGAGCCACTGAAGGTAAGTAAACTTAATAGACAAATGAAAAGTCAACAATCCTGTAGCTTGATGAGACAAGATTGATGTCAGCCGTGTATCAAAGACCAGACATTATGTCTGCGCTACTACTGCCGTCAGGTGTCGAGCTACCAGCGTCGGGGAGATGAGCTCGAATACAGGAGAGATGTGTGCGGGTCTTTCATCTTACCCGTCAAAGCAAAACTCGATCACAGATTCAAAACTTCAAACAATTGTTTTCTCGGGCGCCTACCCTCAGCTCGGCTACCATTGTCAGCGGGAACTCAAAGCGGAAGGAATCACGTAATGTTACCAGAGCGGGTTTCCAGCAGCCGCAGACTTCGGGAGAATTTAAAATTGCAGTCACACCTGCCGTTTTCATTGTGCTGTATACCGGAGGTGAAAAAGGAAAAGCACATGTATTCTTGGACTGTAAAATTGCCAAGATGTGTGTAATAATCATTTACTTCCTGACATTTTCGAGTAAGTACAGTGAATAATATACAGTAAAATGAAGATTGGCTTGTTGATTACTGGTTTATGTATATATATTTTTCATATTTACATGTATGTTTATGTATTCAATAGCGCAATACATTTACTAGTACAAAGGTTTTTCTTAGCAGTTGGTCAACAGCATTTGTCTGAGGTTTTCATCTACCAGGGGAGCTCTAGCTGGAAGGGAGGGGGTCGCAAAAAAGTGTAGGTTTTAAGCTTTG